AAAAAAAAAAAAATCTCAGAGAGGTAAAAAACTCTTCTCTCAGCCAAGACACTGAAGGCAAATATTAAAAAAAAAAAAAAAAAAAGAAAGGAAAAAAAAAAGTTTGAAGTAGCTCTCTTAAAAAGGACCCAATCAGCACTTATTGCCAAAGGGAGAATTCTGATGCTTTGGCTTGTTCTGTCAATCAGGAGCGTGAAGTCAGGAATGAGCTAATTGCAAGGAGATAGTGTTTTAATACTCATTAGGGGGCACGTTGGCCCACAAGCCAAGGGATAAAATGTAGTTTTAAAAAGGGGAAGGAAGATTTAGGGGGTTTAAATAGACAGGGGGGACCCCTGTGGATTTGGGTAGCTATAACAACCTGCCCGGATTTCACTCCCTGGGTCGAAGCTACTAAAATGCAAAAAAAAAAAAAAGAAAAAAAAAAAAGGTGTGAAAGTTTTTTTTTTTTTTGGTGTTGGTTTTTTTTTTTTCAATTATTATTTTCTCAAGTTTCTCCTCCTTGCCATTCTGTCTTCTTCTCAAATCCCCATTTCCTCACGGTGACGGTCGGGACGCATTTGAACAACTTTCTAGAAACTTTCGGGTTGTGCCTTTTTGGTTTTTTTTTTTTTTCCTCCTTTTTCCATTAAAAAAAAAAAGAGGATTTACACTCAGACAGCCACAACCCCCCCCTCAGCCACACGCACCCCCCCCTTCCCCACCAGTCCAACCAGCCAGATATCCAAGGGCTCCACTGAAGACATCTGCTAAAAAATCAACTTCTTCCATGCAAATCTCAACAAGGCTCATCCAGATCATCCCAATTTCCAGGAATTCCAGCCTCGGACATTGCGAAGGCGCTGCTGCAAACGACTTCATCCACCAGATCCACCCCACAGGGCACTAGTAATTGATCTCTTTTTTAATTTCTCTCTCTACATATTGTACCAATTCCTCCCTTTTCAGTGGCGGTGGTGGGGGGTGACTCGGGGTGGATCCCACGGGTCCAAAAAAAAAAAAAATCCGCAGGTTTTCGGTGGGGTGAAAACAAGAGGGGAGAAAAAAAAAAAGGGAAAAAAAATCATTATTAATGTTATTATAAAGACGTAGCTCCTCGATCGTGGGTCCGTGCTTGGATTTGCTGCTCCTCCGGAACATATTGTTTAAAGCTTGCTGGATCTGGGAGCAAGTGTCACCCAGCTGACAGGCTTTCCCTTCCCCTGGCTCATTTGAAAGGGGGCTGGAGAGGCGAAAACGAGGGGATGGAGGCACTGGATGAGCGAGGAGATATTTTCTCCCTGGAATAACAACAACGATTCTCTTTTAACATGATTTTTTGGGGGGCTGTCGTAGCTTCTTGCTGCCTGTTTTTTTTCCTTTTCTGTTTTTTTGTCGCCTTTTTTTTAATTTTGTTGTTGTTGAGGAGGAGGACACAGAGAGCTGGATGAGATTTTATTTATTTCTTTGAGTTTCTTTTCATTTTTTATCTGCGAATGAGAGAAAATTTCTGTGGCTCCCAGGGAACAAAGAGAGGTACAGTTTTTAATGACTTTCTTGGAGGAAGGCTTGCAACCTCGCATGAGCTCAAATCAAAATGCGCTTTCATTCTCATTAAGAGCTGCATATATATTTTCCCTTAGTAGGGAATATTCCTATTTACACACACACAGGGCTTTATATGCATATATATATAAAGATATGTTTGTGTGGAGCGAGATGGAGAGATATATTCATTCTAGTGAAATTATACTAGAAATGCAGTTCATTCGGGGATATTTAAATCATTGGGAATTTGGCAGGGGTCGGGCCCTGATTATTTTCTTTAGGGTTTGGATGACAAGTGATTGCAAATGTGAGCTCTGGCAAGTGCTCCGAGATCTAATCGCTCCGCGCAGCCGAGCTCCACTCGATCCGAGCGGCTTCTCTCCCGCTTCCAGAGGGGGAATGGATGCTCTTCCCGGCTCTCCCAGCGAATCCCCGCGGTGTCGATGCCGCAATTATACGGAGTGTATTAAATCCATCCCCCCACCGCCTCCTCCGGCAGCTCCCCCACCCCGGAGGAGCCGAAGAGGCTGGAGGAGGGAGGGAGCTTTTATTGCATAAGGTAGGATGAGGAAAAGGAGGAGGGTGGCGGTGGCGGTGGTGGTGGTGGTGGTGTGTGAAAAATCATCTTAAGGACTTTCCCCGTGTATTAAGAGAAAATCCCATCCAATTATAGCATTACTGGAAAGAACCAAACACTGCGACTTTCAAAGGAGGGGATTTCTCCGTCTTTTCAAGCGCAATTGCTCACACTGCAGACGGGAACACACGCACACAACACACACACACAGACCCTCAGACAGCAGCCCCTGGCTGGGCGCGGGGGTCCCGCCGAAGCAGGGACGGAGGGGGAGGAGGATGGGGCAGGACACACATCCATCCCTTCCAGGGGTCGAGCTAATCTCCCGTCCTTTTGTTCCCGGGGAGAGGTTTAAACATCCCCCAAAGCCTCTGCCCCTCCCTCCAGGAAGCACCAGGGCAACTTTACCTGGAGGTACAAATTCAGCCACTCTCCCTTTTTCCTCTTTGCTTTGCAGCTGCTGTTTGGGGAGGATGGAGATAATCCACTTTGTCGGAGGCACACAGAGACACACAGACACACACAAACACACACACACACGGATTGATTCCCTCAGCGGCACCGTCCCTGCTCCCTCTGCCACCAACTGCTTTTAATGACTCTGATAAAAGGGGAGCGGGGTGTGTGTAATGGCCATTCCCGTCCCCGGGAATGCTCCCGTTGATTAATTATCTGTTATCAACGTTACCTTTGAGCCCAGACCTTCGAGGGGCAGATTTTGCAATCCATTAGAATCACTCAAAAGGCTGCCACGGGCCTTAGGGATGCAGGGCAGCCTTAGGGATGTGGGACTGCTGGCGTTTGGATCTGCGGGGTTTTCTCCCCGTGGCTGATTTAGGGCCTGATGGCAAAACCCGGCCAAGCTCCTCCAGGCTGATCCATTGTTTCCCATCCTTTTCCCGAATATTTGTGCATCACTGAGACATCCATGTTGCAATGGGCAGGATCTAGAGTGACAGCACCCTCAGGGGGGGTGACAGCAGCGTGGCTTTGGCTTCTTCTCTCTTGATGTTGCTCTTCGGTGTCCAGGAGCAGGTTCTGAGGGAACAAGTTGCCCAGAGAAGTTGTGGATGCCCATCCAAGGCCAGGTTGGACAGGGCTTGGAGCAATCTGGGACAGTGGAAGGTGTTCCTGCCCATGGCAGGGAGGTGGAGGTTGGAACTAGATGATCTTGAAAGTCCCTTCCAAGCCAAACCATTCCAGGATTCTATTACTCCATGATAATCCTGCTGCCAGAGTGGGTGGGTAACTTCAGTTATCAAACTGGCACAGGGGGAAAAGGGGATGGGAGGGCATGGACTGATCGTTCTGGGGCTGGAACACCTTGTGAAGGCACTGCAGGCTGGTTCTGTCCTGCTTACTCAGGATGAAGGCCCAGCTGGCACCTTCAGGGTCCTCTGGAGTGTGTCCAGAGGGCTGGATTTAGCAGCATGACTGCAGTCAGTGCCAGCAGGGAACAGCTGAGCTCACCCAGGGGCAAAAAAAGGCACATCCCGGATGCTCCCACCCCAGAGAAGTCTCTGAAAAGGGATCAGGGGCCAGGGGAAGAGGTTTGGAGGGATCCAGGCAGGTCACACTTCCCAAATCCATCCTCTGTGTGTCACTCCTCTTGCTCTCCTTCCCCCTCTGCCCTACGTGGAGAAGGTTTGTTGCAGCTGCAGGATGGGAGGATGATCCTCCTGGAGAGCCAACACGGAGCCTGGGAAGGCTCCTTGCGGGGCAGAAGGCTTTGCTTAATTTCAGTGGAGGACACCAGAGAGTTCTGCCCCTTCCCTCCTTCACACTTGAGATCCCACCAGGAAAATCTAATTAATTATTCAATTTTGCAAAGTGCAGCTGGAATTGGATCTTACTGGAGAGTGGTTGATCTTCCCCACTTGCAGTTCACTCACTGTCTTCCCCACACGTCCCTCTCTGGTCTCCATGAATTGGGACAGCCACCATGGCAGTGTGAGAAAGCCACTGCCTGCTTTTCCTTCTATCCCGAGAAACCTCTTTTTCCTTCTATGTTCCCACCCTGTGGCTTGTTGGGAGCACTGGGAGCACCAGTAAATGCCCACCCTTCCCAAAGCCAGCCCTGGTGAGGAACCCCAAGAGCACGCAGGAGTTGCTGCAGATATTTGGGGACACTAAACCTCTTATATTCTAGGAAAATATCATATAAATATTGGGATCCTGGCTGTCTGGGTGCTGGGTTGGTGGTGGCCAGGCTTTTTCACAGGTCTTCTGGCTTGTGACATGTCATTGTGCTCCCCTCTCTCACTTTGAAGGTCCCTGCAGACCGAGATTCACCTCAGGCATGTCATCCACACATCCTGACCAGGGCTCCCAGCAGTACAAACAGTGACAAGGTGGGTTGATATCCACCTCAG